ACCACTAACCTTGTATGCATTGTGAGTTTGGCAGCGATCAGTGAAGTTCGCTTCATTGTATTTCGCTATACGATGATGATGGTGATGGCTGAGCGTCCTAATCACTGACGTTCGTGTATCTTCTCATTTTTTTGCAACTTCATCACACTGGGTCTCCTTTTTCTCTTATAGTGTATTATATTTCACACTTGTCTGTGGACAGACTGTGTGCCAGGTAAATTATGGTATAATAATCCTTATAAATAAAAGAAGAGTTCGATGTTTGTCTTGTGGGCTACATACTGCCAAGTTGTCCAGACCAAGACAGGTGAATGATGTGCATAATTGCTGGTTGTACACGCTAAAGTGAACAAACCTACCATACAGCCATATCATTTAGTGTTTCTAACTATGAGTTAGGCCGACCCCCAACTGGATATCCTAACGCGACCGCTATGCTCGGTGTTAATTTGACTGCCCTTGACTCTTCTATACGTGAAGTAACTCTCAAGTACTTCATGACGGAAAACCTAGATGATGGTAGGCGTTGTTTATACCCATTGGAGGTGTTTTGGCCTGCTCCAATGAGCATTAATATACTGAACTGCGGTCTTACATGCCCGGTTGCGGCACGAAGCTCTTGAACGAGGCATAGACATCGGTGTTGGCATAACGGTAGGTCTTCTTCATCCTGCTCCCGTAACAATCAAGTCTTGGCAAATAAAAGTAGCGTCGACATAACTGGTGCAGTTTCACCTGATCCTTTGCAGACAACCGGATTTCGCGACGTTGCCCACCCCACAACACCAACCGACGCTTCTCTGCACGTGCCGAAACTTCATTCAAGTTTTGTCCTCTAGGTGAAATGTAACTGAATGGCCGAATTCGTCCATTTCCTGTAATGCGTTCTAAGTTGGACTGAGCTCGGAAGCGGATCCAACCCGGTTCTGTGGCAGCATTTTAGACTTTGGAGGTGCGAAACGCATGTCTATCACGGCTAAACTGACACACACGACCCATGAGAGCTTGCAACGTTCCTAGATTTTCTTTTAGCAGTTTAATCTGTTCTGTAAACCCCAGACCAGACAATTTGGCATTCGGCAGTATGTCGATGTTGTACTGCTCTCCAAACTACAATGCTTTTCAAATTTTTCAGGAATGTTAGCATACTTGTTTCTCTCGTTCTCTACACAGTCTAACTCTCTTATCGTCATTGCAGGTAATGACTGAGCGATCACGTTCCATGGCACAGCCACCGGACGCAATATTGGCAGAGTGTTTGTCCGATGCCATCAAAGTGAGTGGCTGCACGACTGCCTCCGAGTCCAATAATCTGGTGAATGAAGGCATGCTTGCTGCTCCGGAACACGATCCGTCGCAGGAGAAAATTGATCTAGCCTTGTCGTTGCGTGATTTGGTCTCAGAACGCATCGCTAATCGCCTCTCGTCCGATCCCGATTTCGATCCCAACCAGTTTCCCCTTTCGCACGAGGCATTCCTCAGGAAGCATTCAGATAAACCTTGATATACCTAGCGTAAACTGGTCATCAGAATCGGTGTAGACTGAGCCGAGGGCGGCGACTAAGCAACGATGATTGCGAACAAGGGACCTGCCTATCTGATGCTCAATGTCCTTGTTCTCTGCCCACTTCGCCGTCACATTGTTTTGATGTTTGGACCACCGGCCTTATTTATTTGACCTTCATTTGTGTTGTGTACTGTGAAGCCTAAATTGCAGGTCGTATTTCTGATCTTATGCCTAATGTGTCATATTACCTTTGGTCTTTCTTGTGTTTCCTACCTCATATTCGGGTCCGGTAACAACATTGTTGCAGTGAAGATGGACCGTTTCATCGTTCAACGTGATATCCGTTTATAAATTTTACCCTACAATGGTTTGATTTCGCAGAGGTCTGAAGATTTTTAAAACCGGATCGTTCGGTTACAAAACAGCGGATAAGTTCGATTCCACAAATTTGATTCATCTTTCGATGCAGTGCAAAGAAGCAGTTTAATGTGGTGTTTTATTCAACAATCCACTTGTGATTAGGACAGTAGCACTGTTTTCGTTCATGAACGTTCTGTTCATTGCCAACCGATGGTCTTTAGTTTGAAGACATGAAATGTCTTCAAACTAAAGACCATCGGTTGGCAATTTACTTGTTGCAGTTAGTTCAACGTGAGAATGCATCAGTTTCGCGTCATTTGTGTCTTCGTAAGATTGTCTACGGTCAGACCCTTGAAGATTGTGACCCCAGTCACATGTTTCGTTTTCCTGAACCGTAAACGTTTTGGAGGGTCTTTTCGTTCCCACCTTATGATACCAACATTAGCGCAAGTGTTGAGAGCCAGTTGCCCAGTTCGCATTACCGAGCTGCTGATGACATCAGGAGTCGAAGTTCTAGAATTGTGCTTGTAGGTCATTGGAATTCACGGTCAAATCACAGAAGGGTTCGAAATTGCACAAAAGCATTTTTCAGTTCAGCGTGGTCATCGTCACACTACTTTGTGTGCCATCTTAATTCCGCATTTCATTCATGTGTCAATATGATCATATAGTGGCGATATGGAACAAAAAAAATTGCGCGACAGTGCGAATAAGAAGTACAATGTTTTGCTTAGGTGGCAATCAGCATCTGGTTGAATAAATGCTGTCCTACAGCTCTCACTTCATGAAATCTCGGTTTTCGTGTCTGACGTCCGAATTTCAGCTTTCGCACATTGCGTTAGAAGTCGCTACAAACGAAACATCAAACAACAGAAAAAACTGCAAGAGGTGTACGGTGAAACACAAAAAAATTCTGTTATCTTGTATTTTCCATGTTTAACTGTCTCACCCACATTTCACCATGTTCTGTATCCTAATCCACCTATCCCCTTCACTGTCATTGTTGTGGCGTTGGCACCATGCTTGTTTTCAATCCGGTGGAAAATATAATATATATATATTCAAACGACTAAGAAATAGGAATCACGGGCACCATAGTAAGCATCGCGTGAATAGGCAGGCTGCACTACAGGAGAGTTTCATCAGGGGAATGGCCATTCTGTCTATTTTTTTCCGGTAACATTGGTTCACTCTTGGGAAAAATCGGCAAAGTCCAGAGTCTGCTGCACCGGAACGAAGAACAACCGTGGTAATGGTTTTACTCTATAAAAAATTCGTTTCACCCAGGCATTGACCATGATGTGATTGGAGTGGATTTTTTCGATAATGTCAGCAGTAGCCAAAGATTCAAAGATTTATTATGGGAATAACTTACAAGCTAATGCTTTTCTGGTCCCATA